GCATAATAAATTTCATATAGAGAAATATATCTTTTTATTAGTCTTCTCTTTTCAAAAGAATGGACCTTTTTTCTCACAGGTGCAATATGTTTACCTCTACCCAGAGGAGACGCTGCAAATCTATAAAAAGTTGTTCAGAGTAATTACTTAATCCAATGATTTTTTTTTTTCTCAAGAGGGTTCTTTCAATGAACACTACCATCCTTTCAATGAACAATACCATCAGGACAGAAATGTTTTATTGTAGGATAAGGTACGTATGTCAGGATCCTGTCTGAGATGGCCAGGATCCTAGTCATATTTAGCATCTGTGTGTTGTTTATTTCATGATTATACCAGGTATTATGTTCACTTTTCATGTCAATCAGTTCCTTGAATTCCTTTTTTTTTAAATCATATTACCTCATGTGATGTTGGTTCTCTCCCCTCCTGGGGTTGGGTTAGTCTTGTTTAATATTCATGTGAAGTTAATGTTGATCTTACCCTGCTTCTTGGCTAGTATTCTGTCATGTTCTGTGTCTCTATCTCCCTCTTGTAATGTTTGGTGCTTCTGCCCCAATCTCCTGGTGTCTTGTTAGTCATGTCCGGTGTCATTGTCAAGTTCACGTAGTTGCATGAGTTTCCCCCGGGTACTCAGATTTCCTCCAAGTATGGTTAATTTATGAGCTTAAATCTTTGGGTGGATAGTTCCAAAGAAGGAGAGATTCCTTGTGAGAGATATTCTTTGTACTCAATTAGTTTATAATTTGGTCAATGTTGTAGAGTTCTGGTCTCATTGTCCAGATTGTGCATCCTGGCCACTCCAAGAGACTGCACTGGTGGTCCCTTGGTGTTCATGGACAGATTCTGCTTCAGACAGTTGTTCATCATATAACTAAAATTGTGATTTATAAAAACTATAAAATTTATAATCCTTGTAGATGTTTATGTAGCATGTTAAATTTGCCACAAAATGAACCAACTATGGAGACTGATGAAACAAAATTGCATTATTAGCAATCCTACAAATACTATGCCAGTGCAATAGCAATATTGACTCTTTGTCTTCTCCCTACACACAGTAAATACTTCAAAATGAGGAGGGCCTGTCACAGCAAGACTGACTGGGTTGACATACAGTGGAAAGGAGCTGTGATGAAACATCCAGTTCAGCAAGACAACACTAGCTGTGGAGTCATTGTCATTATGGTAAGACATTAACTTTTTAAATTACATTCTTTTCCTATACATAGGATCAATTTCTACTGCCTTTACAAACCGATATAGGGTTTTAGGAAGATGGTGTTGCACAGCTTATTATGCACAGATGTCATTAAAACCTGGTGGTCTAGTGTTTAATTAAAAACATTTTATTATGAAGATGGCAAAGAGACTGATGGAGGCATTTCCACAAATGCCAACAATCATTTTTGGAACAACCAAAAAAGACATGGCGAGTGAGCTAAACAACCTTGCTTTAGAAATTCTCAGAGCTTCAGGTATGTGTTTTCTATTCCCTTTATTTCCTTTTCTTTTTTTACTTTGATATTTTATCACATGTGCTATATTTTAAAATACATTTCAGTGTTTAATTCAGAGACCACATGTGCAATGTGCTCTGCAACTACACCACCAGGTATAAATATATATATGTATGTGTGTGTGTGTGTGTGTGTGTGTGTGTGT